TTGTCTTGTTTATTATTATTTTTTTCTTTTTTTATAATTTATTCTTTTGTTTTATATGCGAACCCCCGCATAGCAATTCTATGGATTACGCAAGAGGATTATACGCGATAAGAGGGAAATTGATTCCTGTTATTATCAAACGTTTGTTTTTTAGAGAATACCTGTTCCCGGTTAGCTTAATTAATTTATTAAACTCTGAAATTAAGCTAAAACCTCAACTCGCTAGCAACTGCTGACACTTTAGTGGCGCCTACTTAGCATGTTTTAGCTTTCTTATACTTATATGTTAGCTTACTTTTAAAAAATATATATACAGTGGGGTCAAAAGCATGTTTGCACGAGCTGTGTGTGATCTTTGTCTAAGCAGACAGAACCGGTTTTATAAAAACACCAAAAGGCGGTAAAATTGGCAAGTGCAAAAAAAGAATAGATTCCAAGCAGTATAGAATAATTCAAATAGTGTTGTTTTTTTATTTTAAGATTTTTAGATTTTAATTTAATTCATTTACAAATGAATTATAATTTTTCTTAAAAAAAATTTTCTAGTCTATTATTACAGCGCCACGAATTGTTGATGTCGCTTTCAGGCGCACCGCATTTCAAAGATTTCTGTTAAACTTCTTCGACATTTGTCCAACAACGCAATTAACTAAACTATTCACAAAAAGGCGTCACAATATATCGGAATATCAATGTAGTACATAGATAGGCCTATACATACCACATACTAAATATATGTATATCTATAAACGTAACCATGTGTGCGTAGATAATGCAATCGCCGGTAATTATATAACCATCGAACGTCAACCATAAATCATACCTCAAAAAAATCAGCAAATAACTGTGATATTACAATTTTACGAGTGTGTAAGTAGTTTATTCATTCTTCAGAAATATATATGCATATACATACATTCATATATCACTCGGTGAGTAAAAAATCAATTAATACACTTGGCGAAAAAAAACATACGCAGTCGAAAATTTTCTCATTTGGACTGTTACTATTTGCTCAAACTTCACTATTTGCCTTATTTGGCTGTTTTGTCATGTGACTGCATTATTTTAGCTTGTTGTGGAAACAAGTAAAGTTGAACATGGTGCTGTCAACAAAAAAGAAAGCAGAAATCGTAGTTTCATATAAAACAAATTATCCAAAGGTCAAATAGCTCGTGAAATGGGCATAAGGGATTGGAATGTGCGTATTATAAATAAAAATTACATATTTTAATTTATTATTTCGAAAAAAGGGCAGTGGACGTCCGAAAACCGTAAATCCTCGTCAAGAACGACAAATTAAATGGATGTGCGTTAGTGATCGCCCTCAACATGCTGGAACAATCAATGCAACATTTTACGAAACCACTGGGGTAAAAATAACTAAAGGTTCTATGCAAAATGTGCTGAATAATCTTGGATTCCGAGCGCGACGTCCAGCCAAAAAGCCACTTCTCAAAATTACACAAAAATTGGACCTCATCAGATTGGGGAAATGAATCGATGAATCGAAATTTAATTTCTTGGAACCCCACGGTTATACCACAGTACGTCGTAGGAAAGGGGAGCGTTTTTTGGAAAACTGTGTTTGGCGCACCATAACGCATTCGCCTTATTTAATGGTGTGGGGAGCTGTAAAAAAGTTTAGTGTTGAGCCGCTAATTATTTTAAAAAGATCTGTGAATGTCGAAATATAAATTGGAATTTTGAGAGAAGGCGTTTTGCCAACTATTGAACAGCTGTCCGAACACGCCCTAAAAGTTTAGTTTTAGAATATCAGCCCCTTGTCATAGAGCCAAAGCGGTAACCAAAGCAAAAAAATATTGAAATAGATTTTTCAATAATTTATTATAAACACTTTCAGGTTTCAAAACAAAAAAATTTTTATGGAATGGGAACTCTCACGTGGCCAGAAAACAGTCCAGATCTCCATCCAATTGAGAACTACTGGCATTATTTGGGCAAAATGATAAGAGAAAAGCGTCCAAAAAGTCTAAAAGAAATATAAAACGGTATTGACACTGTGCGGAATCAAAAAATTAAAAAAAAGTATCTTCAACGCTTTTTTGAATCCATGCCTAAACATATAACCGAGATTATTAGGAGAAGGGGTATTCCACAAAATACTACGAATGTTTTTATACAAAATATGTTATTTTGATTCGTTATGTATTCCAATGCTAAATAAAAATTATATACAACATAAAATATGTAAACAACTTGCTCAAAAATTACATTAATGTTCATAACAAAATTTTCTTCTGTGATTTGCTATGTGTGTGTTCTCACATTTTTATTTATTTATATAAAATGCTTGAAACATAAACTAAATAAAAGTGGTTGACCCTCAAAGAAAAATGTTTAACTTAGAATAATATGAATCGAAGTTTTGCGCTATATAAATGCACTGTGTAGAGTGCGTGGGTTTTTTTTTTCGCCGAGTGTAGAACACTTTAGTTCGGTTTATTACACTTATTGAATCACAACTATTTCTATTTTCAGATATATGCCAGTGAGTACTTAAAGTATTATGTCCGAAAATTATATACCATATATGTAGATAATACAGACAAAAATTCAATAGTATATGCTCAACAGAGTAAACGAGTATAAAAACTGCTTTTGTATTATCTTTTCAATGATTGAAAAATAAACAAAAATTAATAAATTAAATTAAATCATTAATAAAAAATAAAACAAAAAAT